GTCTCTCTGTCTCTCTGTCTCTCTGTCTCTCTGTCTCTCTGTCTCTCACTCAGAGGGTTGAGACACTCTGGTGCTCTCTGTACCAAGGCAGCAGCAGTGGAGGCACTGAATATCGTTACGACGGAAATCGATAAATTCTTGTTCGGCAGGGGTAATATGGAGAGGGTTATTGGGGGCAGATGGCAGTGTAGGACTGGAAAAGCAAATGGATCAGATCGAACAGGGGGAGTTGGCTCGAGGCACCGAGAGGGCTGTTTCTGCTCCTCTTCACGCGCAATAGAAAATTAATCACAAAATCTGGAATGGGGAGCTGGTCTCAGTGGCAGTTTGACCATGGAACAGTCATCGAGTGCTAGAAGAGTTAATCGGGTTTACTTATTCTCCCTATAGGGAAGGGGAAGCTGTCGTCCTTACCTGGTCCGGTCTCCACGTGACTCCAGACCAACAGTGATGTGGCTGACACTGGAATGGGCACTCCGTTACAAGGACAAGCAGGGTCAGGCGACAAACCCAGGCCACAGCAGTGACACCAATAACCCGAGGGTCAACGTTTTAACCCAAGACGGTCCCTGCACACCGGTGGAGCCTAGTCCCCGTGCCACTCCCCCCCCTCCCCTCCCAGAGTTGAAAAGCAGAATAGTGCGCCCAGGTTTTGAGGGTGGAAGCGAACGGGATCATAGACCCACGACGCAGGTACAAAACGCAGCCCTGCCCCACTCCAGGCCCCGCGCTTACCGAAGCCACTTCGTTTCCCGCCCCGTCAGCCTGCAGCTCGGATGTCTGTTCCACCGCCACCTCGGCCTCCAGGATTTTCTCCACAGGCATTTCATCGTTGGCCCCGCTGGTGGACTCCACCTCTTCGCCCCTCTCTCTGCTCCTCTGCCTCTCCTCCTGGACGGCTGCGGAAAGGAGCAGAGCTATCGCATTGGATAGGAATACACAGCGAATGAGTTAGGCCAACGTGCTGAAGTCCAGAGGAACGGGGTGGTGAGGAAGTCGGGGGGGGGGCGGTGGGGAAGAGGAGGGGGGGGCGGAAGGGGGGGCGGGGGAGGAGGATAAGAGGGATGGGGGCCGACAGATGGGGGAGCAAGAGAGATGTGGGGCAAGCGAGAAAGGTTGGGGTGGTGGGAAGACAGAGAGAACGCGAGGGTGAACACGGGAGGAGTGAGGCGGGTGGGAGAGGGGGGAAAGAGGTCAGCAAGTAGTGGGAGTTGGCAAGGGGCGGGGGGGAGGTGGGGGAGAGACAGCGGCGATGTGTTACCAGTGGGAGGAGAGGCAAAAGCAAGCTCGATTTGTCACTGTAAGGGGTAAGCTCACGCATTGGGAGGCGGTGCGGCTGTCGGGAGGGTGTGAGCAGGAAGTTGCGGCAGCGGGCGGGGGTGGGTTTTGGGATAGAGTACGGGTAATCAAACCTTGCCCCCGCTTCGGTACCTTCCCCGTCAGGGGGCAGAGCTAACCTTCTCGCTTCATGCCTGTGGCCAGGCACTTCTGGTAGCGGCAGTACTGGCAGCGGTTCCGTTGGCGTTTGTCGATCGTGCAGTCCTTACTGTCGCGGCAGGTGTAGGACAGATCCTTTCGCACTGTCCGCTTGAAGAAGCCTTTGCAACCCTCGCAGCTATAGACACCATAGTGTTTGCCTGTGTACAACACACATGACACAAGGTGGAAGTTAGACTTTCCTACGGGTTCCGAGCACAAGGCGCAATGATAAATGTCTTAAATCCTGAAGCACTCCCCCTGACATCTAAATAATGACCTAGCTCTGGGGGCATTTTAAACCCTTCATGAGCTCTAACGGATGTTGACTCCTCAGCTTGTTAAAACTCGTCCAAGTCTGACCGCTGACAAACTATTATTGAGCCAACAGGGCGGAAACATATGAAACATGTTTCGAATTAGACTCACTGGTTTGCCCTGTATGACCTGCACGTTTTAACCTAAACGATAGAAAGCAGACAAACCACGCCCTCTGTAATTCAGTGGGATGGCTGGTTGGTCTTCTAACATTCAACGGCTGCAATTGAACCGACTTGGACTTTAAACAGACTACATAATGACGGACTATTTCTTAAACCGTAAAGGCTCTGGAAATCGGAAGCACAAACGGTCTTGGGAGTCCTAGTTGAGGATTCTCTTAAGGTGAATATGCAGGTTCAGTTGGCAGTTAGGAAGACAAATGCAATGTTTTCATTCATTTCAAAAGGGGCAGAAACGAGAGCAAAGATGAGGCTGTATAAGGCTCTGCTCAGATCACATTTGGAATATTGTGGGCAGTTTTAGGCCTCATACCGGAGGAAGATGTGCTGGCCTTGGAAGGGGTTCAGAAGAGGTTTACTTAGCTGCCTGTCTCATAGAACCTTGTTGATCACAAATCTGCCTGAGTCAGCTTTGAATATATTGAAAGGCAGCCTGCACTGCTCTATGAAGAGAACTCCAAGGCCCTGAGAAGAAATTTCTCCTCAGCTCCATCAAAGACAGCAGGCTGCTTATTTCAAAACTGCGTCCCCCTTGTTTAAGACTCCATGAGAGGCCTCAAGCATCCACCCCATCAGCCCCTTACATGTTTCATTACATGTTACATGTAAGATCGCTTTTCATCCTGTTAAACTACAATGAGTACCAAGATGAGTACTTTCCTCTCGATGCAATGCTTCATCCCAAGAATCGGTCTACTGAACATTCTCTAAGCTGCTTCCTGTGTATCAGTCTCATCTCTGTCTGCTTACAACTGCGAGCAAGTTAAGTGTCTGTCACCTCACCCTACAACAGCAAGGAACTAGTGACACAGTGGGTGCAAATCGCAAGCCGACGACGGAGAGTCACATCCGACAGTGAAACAATACCACGTTGCCAGTGTTTTCAAAAAATATATTGTTCACGGGATTTGGGCATTGCTGGCTTGGCCGGTACTTATAACCCATCCCAACTTGCCTTGGAAAATTCTGCACAACTGCAGAATCAGCTCACTGCATTCGTATTCAATTCCCTTTTGTGATAGAATGGGTCAGCACGGTGGCTCAGTGGTTAGCACTGTTGCCTCACAGCGCCAGTGACCTGGGTTCGATTCCACCTTTGGGCGACCGTCTGTGTGGAGATCGCACATTCTCCCCGTGTCTATGTGGGTTTCCTCCCAGAGTCCAAAGATGTGCAGGTTAGGTGGAATGGCTATGCTAAATTGCCCATAGTGCCCAAGGATGTGTAGGCTAGGTGCATGAGCTATGGGAGATGCAGGGTTACAGCGATAGGGCAGGGGGGTGGTTGTGTGTGGGATTCTCTTTGAACAGTTGGTTATAGACTTGATGGGCTGAATAGCCTGCTTCCACACTGTACGACTCTATTAAATGATTGCTGCCTTCTTTAACTGCTTGGGGTGGAGAGACAGCCAGCCACAGTGCTGTTAGGAAGAGAGTTCCAGGATTTTGATCTAGAGACAGTGAAGGAATGGTAATATAGTTTCAAATGATGAGGGGGATGTGGCTGGGGGGGGGGGGGAGTGACTAGATGGGCTGAATGGCCTGAAGAAAGAATAAACAAAAGGGGCAGCATGGTGGCTCAGTAGTTAGCACTGCTGCCTCACAGCGCCAGGGACCCGGGTTCGATTCCCCCGTTGGGCGACCGTCTGTGTGGAGTTTGCACATTCTCCCCGTGTCTGCGTGGGTTTCCTCTGATTTCCTCCCACAGTCCAAAGATGTGCAGGTTAGGGTGGATTGGCCATGCTAAATTGCCCATAGTGTTCAGGGATGTGTAGAATGGGTGGGATGCTCCGAGGGTCAGTGTGGACTTGTTGGACCAAAGAGCCTGTTTCCACACTGTAGGGATTCTATGATTCTTTCAGATGATGCTCACACTCATCTGCAGCCCTCATCCTTTCAGGTGGCAGAGGTACTGTCGAAGCAGCCTGGGTAAGTTACTGCAGGGCAAGTGCTGGTACACACTGTCGCCACTCCACATCAGTGACAAACGGAGCGATTGTCAAATGTACTGGATGTGGTGCCAGCCGAGAGGGCTGTATTATGCCGGATAGGGGTCGAGCTTCCAACATGTTACTGCTATCCAGGTGTGACAAAACAGAGGTCAACCACAACCCCCCACCCCTCTGTTAAATAAAATCGAAACATCCAGAGAAGCTTAAAAGGAAGTGTGAAAAGTGGTATAATCTGCCTCTCACCAC